TTCTCTACTAAGTAACCATGGCCTGAAGATCGCAGTTGCTAGGGTTTAACTTGCCTACTTACTTAACCCCATGCGATACAGCCACCGATGATTCGAAATCCTCACAGTCGTGTTCCGTACCGGCAGAATATCAATGAAACGCGCTTCAGCGTTTGGCTAATATCTGTGTTGTCAGGGTGGTAAGTAATTACACCATTTCTACTGCCTAAAGTAAAGTTACCTATAAGGAAATCCCAGCGAGCTACACAACTTAAAAAAATCTGTTAAAATCCATCAGTAAAATGAAGATTTCTCATTTGCAACGAATTAGTACCATTTTTCTCTCTAAACTCCGAATGCGAAATCAGTTCTGTTTAGGCAGATAGTATTGCCGGCAAAAACGAAGAAGACTGGAATGGCCATTTATGAATTATTAGCTGTCGTCAGCCAGTCATACCCAGCCCCAAGTGGTGTATCACCGAAGACTCAAACTCGCGACCTTTTTGATCAGAGTCTACCGCTCTAACCATTGAGTCACGAGCTCGTTGTCTTGCCGGATTAGGCCGGGAGATATTGACACTCGTGGATGAAAGTTCACTGACCGCTAACGGAACTCCCTTGTCCCGCTCTGGCTTTGGTCTCAGTTCCCGGGCCCTAACAGCGGCCGTAGCGGTTAGAAGTCTTAGGCAGTTTGTATTGACGATGTTGCCCTTAGCGGTTGGTAAACTTTCATCAACGATTGTTCATTCTAATTTTCATTTGTAAAGGATATAACCACTGAAGTTCCATGTCCCAATTGCATGCCTATGGGTTGGTAAACGCGCTTAAAGCTCACCATTTACCGTGGACTAAAGTTTAACCGACGTTTCTCCCTTCAACTCTCACTGATTCATAGGACCTTGTATCAAGATTGGCTAGAACGCGGTGTTGTTAACTCTTTGTCCACATCTCTCTAAAATGTAATATGATCGATATTTCCAAGTTTAATGTGGCCGAAATCCTGCAAGAGGTGACAACCGCCTGAGCCGCGAGCTCTTCTCATGGTTCTCAGGTCCCCAGTCCATCAACAAGCGCAACGATTTGGCGTTCCTATATTGCGAACGGAGACATTGCCTGAGCAAGACTATCATTCACGTGGGAAGGGCCGGGCCCAGAAACAACAACTCAGACGACAACGAGTAGAATTGTCCCGCAATTACCAGGCCCGCATCCAACACGGACGATGAAATCACGGCAATCAATGAGTCGAACGCGAAGTATCAAGCCAGTACCGCTACAGAAGCTACAGAAGCGAGAAATTATCGTACGGACGCAGATGACTACTATGAACTATAAATACCGTGCAACCTGTGCATGTTTGAACCCTATCTGCGCATGACTATGACTATGATACCAATACCTATGATTAGGGATTCCCGACGGAATCCGAAATGTCAGGACAATAAAAATCTTGTTCCAGTGGTCGCATCTTCTTCTTCTGAACTGCTTCCTGGAACTCACATATTCACCTCTATTGGTGATCGATTACTTTCAGCGTATCCCACTCAGTGCTCTTTAAAAATGCCTTACTTTCAATCGATTTTACAGTATAATGTGTGCCTAAAAAAGAGACGAAAATTTTGCACTATATTTTCATGGATCTACTTTCACCACCACTTTTTCTTCTTGTGTGAAAGAATAGGCCTGCATTTTCACAGCCCACATGCTTGCGTCCCCAACATTCTGCGGGCGAAGCTCCTCATTACCTCATAAAATGCACATTATGCATTGCCAAAAAAAGGGGACATTCACTAGAAGACCTGCCCGATTGCGCTGGGGCGGGGCGTGGGGGGGGAGGGTTAAATAATTCCGTCGGTCCATGAGGTCAAGTGTCACCTGGATAATTTATGCGCTTTTTAAGTCAACCTGTGTCACCCATAACCGCCCTTTTCTTCCGGGTTTCAACGGGTTTGTGTGTGTGTGCCCCACATGTGTCCTCTTGGCTCAACAACATGTGTCTACCCTCAGAAAGAGGTCGTCTCTAAGGAGGAACTGCCTCTACGTCTAGTGCTCTGTGACCCAAGTGTCGCTTTTGCTCTCGGGTTTGTTTCATTGTTTTACCAATAGAGCATTGGAACCATAAACACAAAATTTGATAGAGAGGAAATCACGTGGACGATGGAACCCTGGGGATTCATTACTTTTCCCGCAATTTCGGCACATTGAGGATTGACAAGGAAATCTGCTAATTGATGTAAGAGTTGAGCCCCGGTTTTGAGGGCATCTATTGTTAATTATGTGCCGTCAAATACGGCAAAATGGTTATGCACTGGGATGTCCCACAGAATGCGCTTATCAGTAGGTAGGTAGGTACAGACTAAAAAAGTACAGCAAACTTGGTCTATTTGTGAATAGTGGATTTTGAAAAATCCCAATTCAGGCGAGTTAGACTTGCGATATTTATATGAGTTTTCTGGCTTGAAGGCAAAAGCCAGCTGAACACCGTAACTACAGAAGCATATTCTGCAGGACATGTTTGAACGTCTTCTTAGTTCATTGAGACTGGGCCTGATTGACCGACTCTGATTACAATAGTAGCATCGCAGCAGGCCGGTGGCTGACGCGCCAATTAATGGTC